TGGCTCAAGGCCACTGCAGTAACACAGGCATTCCAGGATACCCCAAGTATGTTTTTCCACAGGCAGATGTCCCCTTCTATCCTTAAACTCAAACTAGAAGATATCTACATAGTTTGCTTGCTCAGTGCAAAGGTCCTATATGCTGCTTCTCAGCAGGGATCAACTGTTTTGGTTAAATGCAACATTTAAACCCACTGATGGGAGGAGATTGATCGACCAGCCACCAAGAACAACCATCTATCTACATGTATTTTCTGTTTGGTCTTTTTTTTTAACTCCCCTAAACTCTAACTCACTGTTAATTCTTTGTAATTTGCCTCCCAGGTCCCAGTGACATCCCCAGCTGCAAAGGGCCACAGAAGTGGCTGAACAGGCATGAAAAATCCAACCCCTTTGTCTGGATTTTCTTTGTCAGCAAGGACAACAGACCTTGCTAGCTTTCACCTTCTCATGCCTTTCTTGCACTTCTTCTGAGTCACATGAACTTCTAAGAAACAACACTCAAATGATCTGCCAAAAATAGGTATCAGAGAGTCTCTTTCATTACAACCTGAAACCAGACCCTTTAAAATACAGATGGTATTTAATGGATCTTTTCTCAGTATTATCTATCTTCCTCCTTGCTGTCTTCACAACTCGTAGAAAGGTTGTCATCGATTTTGATCCAATTTTGATCACAATCACTATTTCTGTGCTTTCCTGACACTCCTGCAATTTCATGCATCTTGCATCTTAAACATCTCTCCCTTTCTGTATTTTTCCTGCCTGTATCTGCTCCTCTTCCAAAAGTTTATTCTTCTATCACTTTTTTATATCACTGTTATCGCACTAATTGGTGAGCTTGTCTCCAAGAAATTAACCACCTCCAGGCACATCTTTTTGCTTTCTCCTAGTGCTTAATCTCTGATCATATCTCGGTTTTATAATCCCTATCAAGCCTTTTATTAGCTTTTGCTTTTATTACTCCTAAAATCACAAAACACAATATGCTGGACTTTGCTCTTGTGTAACAGTAATCCATTGTAAAATTAGCAGGTCTGTGGCTTTTTACATTCTCCTCACTTAATGCTTTCTCAGCCATTATAACATTAGCAACAAGATAAATACTTGATGCTTATGAGCTCCTTGCAGCAAGAACACAGAGAAACACGTGCTTTCCCACATTCCAAATATTCTGCTAACACACATCCCTTTGCGCTTCCCACCCTGTAGGCAGGCAGGCAAAGGGATTCTGTTCCAGAGACAGGAGAGGGGAACCTCTGGGACCATGAGGTGGCACAGCTAAAGGAAATCTGGCCCGGGCAGACAGTGAGTCATGAGTGCCCACTGGTCCAGCAGGAAACCCATCCCATAGATCAGGGGTGCCTGGCAGAAGCAGCAGTGCCCCTGTGGGGGCAGGATGACCAAGCTTCACTGATATCCCAAAGTGAAGCACTCAGACCTGGAGTTGGGGAAACTGGTCAGATTCGAGCCATTTCTGATCCAACAGAAAACTTCACCTTGTTTCCAGCACCCATCCCCATACACAACCTGCTGGAGCAGGACTGCACATCCCTGCTGGCCCTACACGAGCCATGGGAGCACCTCAGTGGGGTTTGGCTCCAGGAGGGTGGGCAGTGTTTGTTACCCCACTGCTGCTACACCTGCCTGAAGTGCCAGCAGCACATGCACCTCAGAACTGCCTCTCCTCCTCCTCCTCTCTGTGCTTCAGCTGAGAGGAGTTTATTTTCACTCTGAATAAAAAATAAAATTAACGTCAGGAATGATGCGTAAATACAGAGTTTGTACAGCATTACAGTAATGGAACACATGAAAAAGGAGACCAGCTTTAAAACAGAAAGGCAGAAAAAGAAATAAACAAAGGAAAATGCTAAGGAAGGGTAAACCAAGTGGGTGTGGGTAGCTGGCAGCCAGGGCTCCCAGCAGGAGGAAGGACAATTAGATTGAGCAGATGAAAGCAATGATGATGATTGCTGGTGCTGCAGACCCAGGCTGGCCTGCATTAGGCTAAGTAAGCTGGATGCAAGCCAGCATCATTGAACAAATGGCATGGCACATCCCCAGCAATCTGAGGAGAGATTACCAATATCTTAAAGGTGACCTTTCACACTTGCTATCCCAGCAAATCAGGCAATTCTCTGGCCTATAATGGACAGGATCAGCAGAGGCCACTCTCCTGAAGTTATGCACGCCTCATAGAAATAGGATTTTTAGGTTTAGATTTAATATCAATTGACTGCACCTCATTTGAGCAAAGTATCCTAAGTGGTTTATTGGTTTATTTCAGCCCTTCCCCATTTTAAAGAAAACATAATCTAACTTTCCATTATTCATTATCATCCAGGCAGGCAACAAGAGAAAAAAAAGAACCCTAATTTTTAGCCATATTGTCTATTAAAAATGTAAAATGTTTCCTAAAAGGGCAGGCGCATTAATTAAGGTTGCCTCAGGATAAATGAAGATTACTAGGAGTGCTCTGCTTTCCTGGATGAGTTTTCCATTATAATCAAATGAAACCAATTACTGCATTTGTAATGGAAACTACCTGAGCTGAACATTTCCACTTTTGCAGAAGCTGGAGAGTAAAGCTTACAAGCAAAAAAAGGTCTCCAAACACTTAGGGAAGGAAAAGAGAACTTATCTTTTATGGAGAAAAGAAATAATCCTGTAAGAAAAACCAACAGTAAAACACTGGGCACAAATCAAATGGCCCCAGTGTAATTGAGAATCACAGCCTGGATTCCCAGAAGCCATCTCCAGCAGGAAATCCTGAACCTGAGCGCTGAACTCCCTTCCGCTTCTTCAGAGGAGAAAATAAAGCTTAATTAGGCTCAATTTTCTAAATAATGGTTATCCTCTGTAACTAATCAGGAAAATTTTAAACCAGTATCAGATGAATACTTGTTCAAATAGTGAAACATGCTCTGTCTTCTAAATATCATCTTACTCTGCAGGCAACTGAAAGGATCGAGGGTAGCACACACTGAGGCATAGCTTTTATTTTCAAACATTCTTTGCCATCCTACTGAGCAGCCCCTAGAAAAACACACAACAACACCTTCTTCTGCACGTGGAGGTTCTGCCAGTGACAGAAAGCAAAGCTAACTTCAGGGAAAAAAGAATTAATGGCATTTCAAACACAACAGCATTTTCTGAACTTATTCCAAATGGAAGAAGGCAAATGTTTAAAGGTATTGCTAGGGAACTAAGAAGGCCCAAAATAAAATTATTTGAATAATCTTTAAAGAGAATCCAGAGCCTGAAAGACACCTTAGAGAGAATTCTACTTCCAAATCACCTAAAAGCAATACACCCATTGAGTTCACCCATAATTATCCAATATTCACCTGGATCATGAATTTTACTCCTCAGTAAGCTAAGCAAGAGCATGTTAATTATGAGGCTGATAAAGACAGTGGTAAGTTATGTTTTAGCATTCTGTCCATGAAATCAGCAATGATGCTCTACGATGATTCTAGGGGTATCCATTTATAGTCAGATAAAACCAATATACAATAATAGTGTACTTTGATTTCTAGTTCCCTTCTAGACTCGTTTAAAAACAACTTCTGAGTATAAATAGGGGCAGATGCAGGAACATTGTACATGGCATGCTCTAAGTTTAACATTCCTCCATGGGGTACACAGTGACCAACCAGACTTCAGCACAATGCAGACCTGCAGCACATGCAGGCTCCAGTGCCCACCATCCTACTCAAGAACCTGGACAAATTTCTTAGAGATTTTCCATGTTCATCTTTAGATTTGAGATAAACTAGTAAGTTTGCCATTCATTAAAAGGAAAGGAAAACTGAGGCAGAGCTGAGTTTTAATTAAATATGAACTGAGTTTTAATTAGAACACCAAGTGAACTTCTATCAGATTACAACAAGGGGTTGGGGTTTTTTTATAATTTATGTATTATACTGAATCTAGGTATGGCTCTTTCAGATGTTCTACAGTGAAGGGAGCTGCAATACTAGGGATTTTGGAAGGTTACAAACACAGAAGCATTCTTCTCCTACTAAAAAAACCTTCCTTTGTTTATAATAGACTCTGCCACAGCTTCTTTCTGTGGAACCTCTAGTCTATCTTCTCTCCTACACGATGTGATGACCAAAGTTCTACACAGAAATTACATATCTAAATTTGTGCATGTCCATCTCTGTTCTCTCCACAAATTCCTTTCTTTTAAAGACAGGCAGATCTACCTGCATTTTTTAAATTAGTATTTATACCCTACTTAAAGCCACTCTGCTACATTTTTTTCCACTGACAGTTGTGTTAATACAGACGCAGTCAGCTGCATCATCAGTCATTTCACTAATTTCTAGCCTAATCTCCAACACCTTGAGAGAATACCTGTCAGTCATATGCTGCTGTTATTTATGTGACAGTTCTACCATCCTAGTTCTTTCCCCTTAATCTACAGCACTCACAAAGCTGTTTCAAATTCAAGTGGATTTTTATCCTTTACTTATGTAAATGCTACCAAATAAGTTTGGACTTTTTCATGCTCTTTTTCCAACTTCTGTATGATAGGTGTATTATTACAGACCTGTAGCACCTTGCTGATGTCTCAGTCAACACAAAAGTAAAGGGACTGTAAAATTGTGAAAGTCAATTATTTTGCCTTTATTTAAAATCTCACTTTTCTATGCCCTTATACCAAATCCTGTGGGATGTCCCCACATGCCAGAATAACCCTTGATCAATATCCAGTATCACAGACCCCAAATTTTTGTTTAGGGGACCATGCAGACAAGGCAGAGGTCTCTGATTTACTTGGTTCCTTCTAAAGAAACAAATCCCCCCAACCCTTTCATTTCAAAGCAGATTCTACCGAACCCCACCAGAATTAAAGTCCGCATGGATTATTAGACACAGATCTAGTTAAAGACTAAAAACTGCTGCAAAGACAACACCGACTTCTTTAAATGTTTATGCACCGAAGGAGGAAATTGATGGACGGGCGTAACAAATAATTCGGGAGCACTTACTGTGGCAGAGAGCTGCGGTCCGTTCAGCTGGGCGTGCAGGATGGCCTCGTTGATGGAGCTCCAGATCCCCGCCAGGGCCATTTCCAGCTCGTGCGAGGCAGCCATTTCGTTCGTCAGATATTCCAGCGTGGAGATGAACTCCCTCCAGTGTGCATCCAGCTCGGCCACGCTGGCCAGGCAGCCCCTCATGACGTTGAGGCAGTATCCCACGCAGGGCCTGATGAGCGTCAGGCCCTGGCAGTGCGGGCAGTACTGCATCTTCACCAGCGCCCTGCTGCACTCCTTGCTCAGCGCGGCGTGCTCCGTGCTGTTTATCACCTCAATGCCCAGGCTCAGGGCCTGGCTCAGCATCCTGCTGGCCCACAGAGATTTGGACAGCTCTGTAACCATGTTTTTAGAATAGTGTCCAAAAGGATTTATGTCTTGCCTTGTAAGCCGCAGACACTCTGTGTAGTCCTCTGACAGATCAGTAATTCCTGGGTTTATTAGCCGGCTGTACACCAGAGGAAAGAGACTGTCAAAGAACCGCAGAACTGCACTTTCCACTGTGGTCTCTGCGCCCAGAATGTAGAGAGAGATGTCTGTAAAAAGCTCCTTAACAGGCTCTGCTGCTTCTTTTGCCATAGGTCTGTAAGCTGTCTCAAACAGGGAACTTGTGCGGTTTTCAGCAAAGCGAAGCAAAGACTCAAAGGCCTCTAAAAAAGGGGTAGGGGAGAGAAAGAACTAGAGGTTAATGGCAGGCACCTGAAATCTTGGTCGCAGGACTAACACTGTCTGAACGGGACATCAATAGTTACATGAAATCTGCAGTATCAGTGCAGTAACAGGTAATACAGCTTTCAGCAGTAATGTGATTAAAGGGATCCCCAAGTATTGCCCATGCATAATGAAGGCAACACGTAATTGTTTCTCTTAAACAAAAAGATGAGTCTGTTCTGGCTAGCCAGACCATGATCCACCAAGGACTTGCACAGATTCCAAGCCAGGGCTGGAGCACAGCACAGGGCTGTGTAAGGTGGTTTTCAGAAGCCACACTGCATTTGAGCAGCTCAGACAGATACACTTCCAAAGCACCCCTCAGCTCAATTGTGAGGCAACTGAATATACACAGAAGCTGAAGGTTTTGTTTCACAGTGCTTGAGGGGGTGGCTGAGAGGCACTTCTTACAAAGTACAACCCCAAGATGAAGGAAAAGAATAATGCTGTGTGAATAAATTCTCTCCCCATTAACACTGCCTATTTATGGACACCAGCCAGTGGTTGGGGAGGACTTGACATCATGTCCACTATGACCCAAAACCAAAGTGAAATAAACAAATCAGGAAAAAACTATCTCCTCTAATTACAACATTTCTGAGAGACCTAAAAAAATAGTATTTAAGGAGGTCCACATTTAAGACATTTCAAATGGCACATGGTAAGTATTATACACCCAAACCACTGACTGGGGTGCTAGAATTCATGGACAGGGCAAGGAAGGGATCAGTTTTCCAGATTATTTTTAATGACACAGAAGACAGTAATCCACACCTTTCCCACTGCTTTCTTTGGAAGCTCTCCAACAAAAAGCCTCTGACATAAATCATCCTTGCACTCCCCTGGGTGGCAAGCAGCTCCAGTCGAGGCAGAGATCTGTCACTCCATACCTCCCGAGCCTGCCCAGATAATGGGGTTTTGGTCTAATCCCCCTCTCCATTCATGGAACATCCCTGTGCTCTGCAGGACAGCCCCACACAGAGCAAACACAACACACAGCTCCAGATCAGCACACAGGGGCAGGGTTTGCAGCAAAGCCCGCACTGTGCTGCCCTGGGACAGCTCCCCGGGCAGCTGACTCTGCTGCCATAAGCATTCAATCCTTTTAGCACAAAGTGTGCTTTAACTCCACACATTATACAGCACAGCTCACCGGACATTCAGCAGCAGCATTTTGCTGCAGAAAAATCACTTCAGCACTCACACTGCTATTACAGCAACTAATAGCTTGGAAGTGCTTATAAAATCCTAGAAATTAAGAAACCAGATACACTCGAGTTGAAAAAGATGACAGCACATTCTTGGCAGAGAAACACCTTGCCAAGTTTCAGACTGAAGCAGAGCTGACAACAATTCTGAAAATTGGATCCAGGATAGAAATCTTGACACAATCTAAACTGTGGTTTGTTGTGTGCTACTCACAGTGTTAAAAGGGGTTTTTGTTTGCCAGATCACCTCAATGTGTTCATTTCTAAAGGAAACCAAAACATTCTTTTTATCATAGTAAAAACTCAATAGAAGCATTACAAAACATAAAAAAAGGTGTTTAAGTTTCCTCCCTATGCATGGTCCCTTACAGATACTCAGTTTATCATTAAACTATGGGAGCAGGGACTGTTGTCTGAAGTGCCACCAATCTTACACTCTTACAATCTTACACTCTTCCCTTATCTTCCATATCCATAAAGGCAGAACTGCAGACATCACTCTCCTTACCTGAAAATTAAATTAAATTCATTTATCAATATGCTAGTCTTGTTATTTTCCCAAGAAAATAAAAGCCCCAGTGAAACATATGAGCAAAACATCCACTGGCAGCATGCATCTCAATAAAAGATTTCAGCAGATTCCTGGGATACTAAGTTACAGGCTAGAAACCATGTAGCATTTTACTTTCAAACCTCTTAACTGTGAAATTCTGCATTCTATTAAATAAAATTCTGCATTATTCTGAGACAAGTGTGAAATCATGATATGTAATTATGACATTTATTTTTCATGGCGTCAGGGAAAAATTGTGATGGCAAATAGCTTCATTCCTCCTGCATGAAGAGCCCTCGCACCAAAAACATGGCACAAAAATAATGCTTGGGATAACAGAAGTGCTGTAAGGCATCATGGGCTTCCTTATAACCATTGGTCAGACACAAAATGTGACTCGTGCCTGAGGGCATTTACCTTTCAGAAGGAAATATGCAGGTGCTTTTCTATTTTTAAGGCATTAAGAAATGTTTGAGACAATCCAATTACTGTTCTTAGACCTTTAAATCAGAAATTATTTAAAGGGGCTTCATGCAGTCAAATGATGTGGCAACAATGGACAGCTTGAGTTGTGGCTGTACAGGGCAGGAGCTGCTGAGGTGATTATGTGCTTTTTAGTGCACTTTGTGTGGTACTTTGTACAAAGTTTCTAAACTCCAAGGAAGGTTTACCACTATCTGCAAGACCAGCTTCTCATCTATGCTGTCAAATGCAGCAAACTTCAAATTGTTATGAGCTCATCAAAAGCTGAATTCTAAGCCTAAAGATACACTGGGAGAATTATTTGATCATTTTTCAGTGTCTTTGGCTTCAACATAACCCTACCAGCAGCATGGAATATATTGTAAATATATCAACTCTGAACAGAAATAAGTCTTAACTGAAATAATCCAACATTTGCTGAAAATATCAGATTTGGAAGTTTTTTGTCTTCCACTTGTATGAAAACAAATAGGAAGGTGGATAGCAAGGTTTGTTCCTATGCTGCTGAGAAATCTTTTTTTGATTTAAGACTACAGGAAAAGTGAAACAATTAATTTTGAATTTTGAACGCCCACACTGGTGGCTTCTTAATGAAAGTCAGGCAGCATCACCTTCCATGGGGAGAATTTTGTTCAAACCATGTGCTCACCAAACCCTTGTGCCTGGACATTCCAGCACAGTGATCAAACACAGCTCACCTCTGGAACTTCCCATCTGTCCTGCTGGGGTTCTGGAATGGGCTGTGGGCCCAGCCCAGCTCTGCCAAGATCCACGCTGGGTTTGCTGCTGCAGTGACAGCAGCACCCTGCCAGGACACCCAGCTAAAGCAGCCCAGCCTGCCCCAGCCTCACATACACTCACACTGGGTTATGCTCAGGCTGACACACACACATGAAGTGTGGAACTGAACTCCCCAGCTAGGTAAAATCACAAAGTGGTGTGTTTGTTGACAGTGCCCGGCACAAGGGGAATTATTTCTCAAAGGCAGGTGCAAAAAATCACAGGCTCCTGCTCTCTATTTATCAAAAAAATCTTACATACCCATATCATTCCCAAAATCACTAATACATATTCATTACCTAACCCCACCTACCCCTTCTACATATTAAAATGTATTTAAATAACTCTGAAGTTCCTTTTAGACCCATGCAGTCTCCTGATTGAACTGGGGTGGTGGGTTCTGAAATGGGACAGTGGGCTCTGAAATGGGTCAGGGGGCTCTGAAATGGGTCAGGGGCTCTGAAATGGGTCCATGGGCTCTGAAATGGGTCCATGGGCTCTGAAATGGGACAGTGGGCTCTGAAATGGG